CGACAGGGTTAAAAGGGTTGAAACCGAAGTTCTACTGAACTTACTGGATCCCGTAGCCTCTCCGAGGCACAAACCAGACTTTTACACAACCCCCCTCCCCCCCAGGTTCCCGCAAGTTCGAATCCTCGTCACGGCCCTTTTGGATTTGTTCATTTGATGCATCACGTTATTGTGATCTCTGTGTGTGATACCTGGAGAGGGTTTCGCGAGTTCTATTTCTTTCACCTCTAGTGATGAACGACTCAATTCCTGAAAGCTCCAAGAATTACGTTGAGAGTTGCCTTAAGAATCTAACATAGAGAAGAATTTGGTGATATACAAGCAAACAATACCAATAGCTATCCAACTAGGAAATAGATAATTGATTGATTGATGAAGATTAAGCCACCCAAGAGCACGGGCATGAATAGCCCGCAAGTGGTTTGTAATAGATAATTATCAATTCTCCTCAACCCACCCCAGTACTCATGCTAGACTCGTACAAGCTGCACCCGACCCCCAAAGATGCCTTCACATATCATAACGTCTTTCTTAATTTTTTTTAATTTAATTATTTTTTTTAATTTAATTTTTTTTAATTTTAATTTTTTTAATTTTTTAATTATAATTTTTTTTTAATTTAATTTTTTAATAAATAGCTTTCACATATCTTAACGTGGTCTATAATAATCACACACAATATTTTCTAGAATGTAAATAAACATAACTTTAGAATTTTCTGCGTAGTTAGGCCTAGCATAGATTAGGCTTAGGTAATTCTTTTGTTATTTATTTGTGTTGACATTTACTTGTATTTTCAGTTCGTGGGTGAAGCATTTTGAGAGGTGGGGATTCGAACATAGGATAAAGCGAAGTAATAATATATAAAAAAAAACAAGTGAATGGTGTACTTAGTTACCAGTCGAGCGTAAAGCATTTTTTTTTCTTCACAAACAAGGGGTTTGGTGGCTGGATTAACGACCCTTTTCCTATTTGTTTATGAGGACGAATTGATTGCATATATTTTTCGTTAGATGGTGTAATGAGGCCCGTCACCGCCTTCCTTAGCCTCAGTAAGACGCCTCGACTCGTGTGAGAAGAGACTAAGCATGACACAATGACAGCTGACTGTTATCCCCAGATCATGGATCAAATGTCATGTCAAGGAGACAGCCTCGTGTGTGTAATTACCTAAGTGTAGTTACAGGATGAGAGCTACGCTCGTGGTGTCCCGTCTTCCCAGCACTCTTTGTCATATAACGCTTTGAAACTACTGACGGTCTTGGCCTCCACCACCTTCTCACTTAACTTGTTCCAACCGTCTACCACTCTATTTGCGAAGGTGAATTTCTTATATTTCTTCGGCATCTGTGTTTAGCTAGTTTATATCTATGACCCCTTGTTCTTGAAGTTCCAGGTCTCAGGAAGTCTTCCCTGTCGATTTTATCAATTCCTGTTACTATTTTGTATGTAGTGATCATATCACCTCTTTTTCTGTCTGTCTTCTAGTTTTTGGCATATTTAATGCTGTTGTGTGTGTGGTGTGTGTGTGTGTGTGTGTGTGTGTGTGTGTGTGTGTGTGTGTGTGTGTGTACTCACCTATTTGTGCTTGCGGGAGTTGAGCTTGGCTCTTTGGTCCCGCCTCTCAACTGTCAATCAACTGGTGTGTGTGTGGTGTGTGTGTGTGTGTGTGTGTGTGTGTGGTGTGTGTGTGTGTGTGTGTGTGTGTGTGTGTGTGTGTGTGTACTCACCTATTTGTGCTTGCGGGAGTTGAGCTTTGGCTCTTTGGTCCCGCCTCTCAAATGTCAATCAACTGGTGTGTGTGTGTGTGTGTGTGTGTGTGTGTGTGTGTGTGTGTGTGTGTGTGTGTGTGTGTGTGTGTGTACTCACCTATTTGTGCTTGCGGGAGTTGAGCTTTGGCTCTTTGGTCCCGCCTCTCAACTGTCAATCAACTGGGTGTGGTGTGTGTGTGTGTGTGTGTGTGTGTGTGTGTGTGTGTGTGTGTGTGTGTGTGTGTGTGTGTGTGTGTGTGCAGACTACCAACCTTCCCGCCATCATTTGGGTCCCAGGACCACCAACCTTACCAACCTTTATCCACGTCAACCATCACTCACACCGAAACAACTCAACAAAAGATGGAATCAACAGGAAGATGTCAACCCCTCAAACACATCAGGAACACAAACACATCAGGAACACAAACACACCAGGAACACAAACACACCAGGAACACAAACACATCAGGAACACAAACACATCAGGAACACAAACACACCAGGAACACAAACACATCAGGAACACAAACACATCAGGAACACAAACACATCAGGAACACAAACACATCAGGAACACAAACACATCAGGAACACAAACACTCCAGGAACACAAACACATCAGGAACACAAACACATCAGGAACACATCAGGAACACAAACACATCAGGAACACAAACACTCCAGGAACACAAACACATCAGGAACACAAACACATCAGGAACACAAACACTCCAGGAACACAAACACATCAGGAACACAAACACATCAGGAACACAAACACTCCAGGAACACAAACACATCAGGAACACAAACACATCAGGAACACAAACACACCAGGAACACAAACACATCAGGAACACAAACACATCAGGAACACAAACACATCAGGAACACAAACACATCAGGAACACAAACACATCAGGAACACAAACACTCCAGGAACACAAACACATCAGGAACACAAACACATCAGGAACACATCAGGAACACAAACACATCAGGAACACAAAACACTCCAGGAACACAAACACATCAGGAACACAAACACATCAGGAACACAAACACTCCAGGAACACAAACACATCAGGAACACAAACACATCAGGAACACATCAGGAACACAAACACATCAGGAACACAAACACTCCAGGAACACAAACACATCAGGAACACAAACACATCAGGAACACAAACACTCCAGGAACACAAACACATCAGGAACACAAACACATCAGGAACACATCAGGAACACAAACACATCAGGAACACAAACACTCCAGGAACACAAACACATCAGGAACACAAACACATCAGGAACACATCAGGAACACAAACACATCAGGAACACAAACACTCCAGGAACACAAACACATCAGGAACACATCAGGAACACAAACACATCAGGAACACAAACACTCCAGGAACACAAACACATCAGGAACACAAACACATCAGGAACACAAACACTCCAGGAACACAAACACATCAGGAACACATCAGGAACACAAACACGTCAGGAACACAAACACTCCAGGAACACAAACACATCAGGAACACAAACACACCAGGAACACAAACACATCAGGAACACAAACACTCCAGGAACACAAACACATCAGGAACATAAACACTCCAGGAACACAAACACTCCAGGAACACAAACACATCAGGAACACAAACACATCAGGAACGCAAACACTCCAGGAACACAAACACATCAGGAACACAAACACTCCAGGAACACAAACACTCCAGGAACACAAACACATCAGGAACACAAACACTCCAGGAACACAAACACATCAGGAACACAAACACACCAGGAACACAAACACTCCAGGAACACAAACACATCAGGAACACAAACACATCAGGAACACAAACACTCCAGGAACACAAACACACCAGGAACACAAACACACTAGGAACACAAACACATCAGGAACACAAACACTCCAGGAACACAAACACATCAGGAACACAAACACACCAGGAACACAAACACTCCAGGAACACAAACACATCAGGAACACAAACACACTAGGAACACAAACACTCCAGGAACACAAACACTCCAGGAACACAAACACATCAGGAACACATCAGGAACACAAACACATCAGGAACACAAACACTCCAGGAACACAAACACATCAGGAACACAAACACTCCAGGAACACAAACACATCAGGAACACAAACACTCCAGGAACACAAACACATCAAGAACACAAACACTCCAGGAACACAAACACATCAGGAACACAAACACACCAGGAACACAAACACTCCAGGAACACAAACACATCAGGAACACAAACACACCAGGAACACAAACACATCAGGAACACAAACACTCCAGGAACACAAACACATCAGGAACACAAACACACCAGGAACACAAACAAGCAAGAAACAACTACACGACAGTGACGAGAGAGGCAGAAATAAATTTTGAAAAAGGGATACCTTACCTTACTATGACATCGGGGCTCAATGTTCCCTCGGCCCGGTCCCAAACCAGGACAAACGTCAAACAGAACCAATGCTATTCTATAAATTCATTAAAATCAAATTGCACGTAAAGGATAAAATGCAGTGATTGAAAATGGGAAAAAAATTTAGCGGGAGAATGAAAAGGAAATGTGTAAAGACATTAAAAGAACAGTTTGAAAGCGTGTTTGTAAACAATTAAGTTTTCCGAGAGCCAGACACAGTACGAATGTCAGAGAATAACAAGAGTACATAAAGGTGTCTCGAGACGGAGTGACAAAAAAATGCTCAAGAAACTAAAGAGAAGGAAGCAGATGGCCCCAGATGGAGTTTCACCTTAGGTCCTGAGAGAATGTGCAACTGAGCTCAGCATTCCACTTATACAGTAATTTTTTCAGTCATCTTTGTGTACGTGAATCTTGGCGGATATATGGAAAAAGGATAACATAGTTCTAATGTATAAACGTGATAGCAGGGAGGAGGAGGAGGAATTATCAGAAGAAATCGTCAAGCAATTACAACTCTATAGCAGTGGTAGCAGGGAGAACCCTCTTAATTATAGACCCGTGTCCTTGTCAAGCGTAGTAGTCAAAACATTAGACAAAAATAATTAAAGCTAAATGGGTAGAACACCTGGAGAGTAATGACATAATATCAAACACACAGTATGGTTTTCAATCAGGAAGATCTTGTGTAACAAATTTACTTAGTTTCTATGATAGAGCCACAGGGAAATTACAGGGAAGAGATGGCTGGGGTCGACTGCATTTATAGGAACCTGAAAACAGACTTTCGACAGAGTCCCCACAAGAAGCTGTTCTGGGAACTGGAACATACTGTGGGGTGACGGGGAGACTTCTGGCATGAATAACAAATTTCAGACTGTAAAATCAAGGCAGTACTATAGAGACAATGTATGAGCCTAGAGCAGTGTTACTAGCGGAGTACCACAGGGTACTCCGCTAGTAACAGTAATGTTCATTGTCCGTTCTCCGTTCAGTAATGTTCATTGTCCGTTCTCCGTTCAGTAATGTTCATTGTCTACATAAACGATCTACCGGAAGGAATACAGAATAATATGTTTTGCTGACGATGCTAAGATATTAGAGAAGATAAGAAACAGACGATTGTCATGTCCTTCAAGACGACCTGGACAAAATAAGGGTATGAGAGTTACACTTGGCAAAGAGAATATAATGTGAATAAAGGCCACGTTATATGACGTAGAATAGGAGAAAATAGTTCACACATATAACCAACAAATTATGTGACAGAGCTTTAAAGAGTTCTGATGAACAAACAGATCTTGACCCGCCAAAAACACGACGAAACTACCACGTTGCTAGAACGTTCGACCAAGTCTTTAAACACCACCTAACAAGTTGTAACAACCAATATAGCGAGTTGTAACAACGTTCCAATACCTCATAAAAACGTTATAACAAGATGTAACAACTTTATTGCAAGTTGTAACAGGCGCAAAATAGGGACAGTTAAGTTGTGTGTTTGCAGGAGGGGGAGCGGGGGGGGGGGGGGAAGAGGGTGGTTCTAGATAGCAAACTGCCACCTGAGGACCACCTGAGGACCACCTGAGGACCACGTGATCACTCCGCGAGACATGTGTGCTAAGCTTTCCAACTTAACAATCACTCTTAAGTACACAAGTACATGCATGGCGAAATATTAAAGAAATTGTTCATTACTTTGGTGAGACCTTTGAAAAACAGAGGTGCAACAGGTACTCTGAGAGAGAACTATCAACATCAGAGGCCCGAGACTGTTCAACACGCTTCCACTACACATAAGGGGCATAACTGGCCGACCCCTCACAGTGTTCAAGAGAGAACTATCAACATCAGAGGTCCGAGACTGTTCAACACGCTTCCACTACACATAAGGGGCATAACTGGCCGACCCCTCACAGTGTTCAAGAGAGAACTGGATAAGCACCTCCAAAGGATACCTGATCAACCAGGCTGTGACTCGTACGTCAGGCTGCGAGCAGCCGCGTCCAACAGCCTGGTTGATCAGTCCGGCAACCAGGAGGACTGGTCGACGACCGGGCCGCGGGGACGCTAAGCCCCGGAAGCACCTCAAGGTAACCTCAAGGTAAGGTAACCTGACCCAAGTTGAAATATGCAGTGGGTGTATGGTACCCACATCTCAAGAAGCACATCACTAAACTGTGATCACATCTCAAGAAGCACATCACTAAACTGTGATCACATCTCAAGAAGCACATCACTAAACTGGAAAAGGTGCAAAGACTTGCAACAAAATGGCTCCCGGAACTGAAAAACAAGAACTACGAGGAGAGGCGTTAAATATACCGAAGTTAGACGACAAAACAAAAAAGAGGTGACATGATCACTATATACAAAATAGTAACAGGTATCGACAAAATTGACAGAAAGAAAACAAAGTTCAAGAAGAACTTTTGAAAACTGCAATTTCAACAAAGGGGGACATAGGTTCAAACTTAGGAAAAAATAGAAAAATTCACTTTTTGCAGAGTGGTAGACGGTTGGGACAAGTTAAGTGAGAATTTAGGTGGTAAAGACCAAAACTGACAGTCACTTCAACACGTCATATCATCCTCACCAAAACCACAAAGATGAAAGACGATTTTGCTGGATCTGGACACAGTTAAGACGATGGGACCAGGAAAAAAACTTGCCATGGATATGCTAAATAGAGAAGGAGTGCAAGTCCTGTGCTGGCCACTCACTACGATACATAATAAGTCCTTGGACAAAGGAAAGCTGCCAGAGAGAGTTGGAAGGCAGCCAATACAGGGCAAAATGTAACAACTAGAAACATACATGAGACATAAAACCACAAGTCAGCGCTAACGTATCATGCAAGGTGATGGAAAAGATCGTAAGAGGTTAGTAGAACAGCTGGAGAACCGGGACTTTATACCACACCACAACCACCAGCATGGTTTCAGAAACAGCAAATCATTCACAAAGAAGTTGACAGAGTTGTTGACCAGACCACACACTAGAAGGTGAAGGGACGACGACGTTTCGGTCCGTCCTGGACCACAATCGACTTGAGAATGGCCCAGGAGGGACCGAAACGTCGTCGTCCCTTCACCTTCTAGTGTGTGGTCTGGTCAACATACTTCAGCCACGTTATTGTAACTCCTCGCCTGCATATTGACAGAGTTCTGTGACCGGGCGACAGAGGAGATAATACAGAGAAGGATAGGCACATTATATATTTTTGGACTGCCAGAAAGCCTTTGACACAGTACCTCACGGGAGACTAGTGCCCAACATGGAGAAGCAGGCAGGAGGAGTGACAAGGAAAGTGCTCGAGTAAATAGAGCGCCTCCACAACAGGGAACACAGAGAAAAGACGGTAGAGTGGCGGCATGTAATTAGTGTCTCACGGAGTACCACAGGGCTCAATACTAGGGGCCAATCCGATTCCTAATATTTGTAAACAGCTTACCATAAGAAATAAGCACCACTTTCTTAATATTTAATTGTGACGCACAAATTATAAACAGGAAAAAAAACATGATGAAAGAATGCAAACAAACTTCAGGATGACTTGGACAAAATATAAGAATGGTCCAGCAATTGGCTACTTGAGTTTAACTCAAGTAGCGCAAAGTAATAAAGACTGGAGCTTGTAACAAGAGGCCGGACACTTTACCATGACTAAAGGGGAAAAAAAAAACCTTCCTGGAATCGGACAAAGACTTGGACTTTGATATCACACCGAACATATCTGCAGAAGCCTACATCAAAGGAATATAATCAGCTGCATATGCATGGTTGCTTCACATAATACCTTCCTTTAGGAGTCTGAACAAGGAGTGGTGCAGAGCCTTATATATACCACACACGTCAGACCAATCCTGAAATATGCAGTAGCAATATAATTGTTCTTATATGTTTAAACATGAAATAAAAGAGAGGAGGAAGAGGAACTATCAGGGGGAAAGCGCCAAGCCAATACGACTATATAGCACTGGAAAGGGATCAGGATAAGGATTTGGGATGTGACGGGGAAGAGGAATGGTACCCAACCACTTATGGACGGTCGGGGATTGAACACCGACTTGCATGAAGCGAGACTGTTGCTCTACCGTCCAGCCCAAGTGGTTGGACAGATCTAAAGA